TTATAACCCCTCTTAACCCCTCTTGTTGGTGTTATAACCCCTCTCAACCCCTCTTGTTGGTGTTATAACCCCTCTTAACCCCTCTTGTTGGTGTTGTAACCCCTCTTAACCCCTCTTGTTGGTGTTCATTGCTGTAGACGCACAGATGATTGAACCCTTCCTTCATGAAGGCCATCGGCTGCTTTGTCCTCTTTGGTCATCGATGAGCTTGAAGACGACATCGGCTAAGTCATTCCTAATCCCGCGACTTCATCCACCTGTTCTTCTGCTGACTTATGCTTCTTATACTCCGGTTTCATCTCGTACATCCCTTGGTGTTGACCCCTCTTGTTGTAGATGCACAGATCATTCAAAACTTCCTTCAAGAAGGCTACCGGCTGCTGAGTCTTCTGAACGAGCTGCTTCAAGGGCCAAAAACTTTGCTCATCGAAAAGCTTGAAGACGACGTCTTCCAGGTCATTCCGATCCTGCCTGATCCTTTTTCCTTCAGTCGAACCCAGCTTGACTCTGCCAAGCTTCTTGTCTAGGCCGGCGCCGGGCACCGGCAGGATGTTCCTTTTCTCCGTCCACTGAATCTGACGGAGTCTTGTCATCGATCTGTCATGTCTTTCCCGGCAGAGCTTCCAGTACTCCTCACCTCCTACAGGCTTCATATCGAATTTTCGATCCACCCTCCCATCCACGGACACCGTGCCTTGAGGCGTTTCGGAGAATACGTGCATGTTGAGCATGTCGCTTGTGAAATTTAGGCTGTACTCCTTGGGCACGCCAGCTGCTTCTGCCCCTGCCAATTGGATCATGAACTCCGGCGGTTCCTTCGGAGCTAGCGGATCGAACGAGAATCGGACGCGCCCAAGTTCGTTGTCGCCAGTCGGTGCTTTCCTCCACATTTCCGCCACAAAACTGGGTACTTTCATCAACCACACTCCTCTTTCTGACCCCCTCAGATCCACCACATCTTCCTTTGCCATCATGCTGTCTTTTTTTTTCTTTACCCAGCAGTTCACAGGGGCCTAAGTGGACAAAAACTTGACTTCAAAGGCTCGTCGCGAACCTGCAGCTTCGCCTTTTCAAAGTGGCCTGCGGCTTTTGTTCCCAGTCCAGGACCGAATCGAAAAGCACCTAGTACCAGCCGTACTCTGCTTCGGGTGAACTGGCGGTTGAAGAGGAGGGCCCTGTGCCCAAGGCTTTGATAGCAGAAGATGGAGCATTTGAATTTATAGAGGCCCTCACTCCATAAATCTTCGCCAGCATGTTGATTCAGTGTATGCAAAAAAAAAAAAAATTCACCTGTGCACAGGAGGCATGTGTATGAATGCAAGGGTCAAAATTTGCAACCACACCCCTATAGTACCTTTCCCACAGTCTCCTCCAGGGCCCAGTTGTACTGGGGGTTTGACGTTCACACTTGTTGAGAGAGAAAAAAAGAAGGGGGAAACTAGTACGTGGGAGTCACAAAAATGTGTGTGGTGTGTGGGAGAGTCTTGGCCTTAGACACTGCTGTTATTCGGTTGGGGGTGGGGGGCGATGAAAAGGGAGGCGCAGCTACTGGCAAAATGCTCGGTCTTTGCGTTAGCTGGACCCCCACCGGCGGCCCCACCCTATCCTTGACCACCATGGTTGGGGTGGGGGGGCAACATGCATCCCCTCTGATGGCTGGAGGGAGACAACAAAGCTATGTTTGCAGGGGTCCCCTGTCTAAGCCTTAGGAGTAGTGGTAGGTAGGTAGTGAAGGTGAATTGAAAGAATTTGAAAGATGATGAAAGATTTGAGAGAAGAATATAGGGTAGTTAAAAAAAAAAAAAAGGAGTTATATGGGCCAAGATACAGGTTCGAATTGCAGTTCGGGCAAAAGAAAAAAAGAAAAAAGAAAAGAAAAAAAAAACGACCCAGCTTGCAATTGCAAACTGTATCTTGCCCCATAGTGCAATTATAACTCGTTCATAACAAACAAAAATATATATATATAACTCGTTTTTGTGACTCTACTGAAGTTACCACCCCCCCYCCACTTCCCCCCCCAAAAAAAAAAAAAAAAAAAAAAAAAAAAAAAAAAAAAGTTTACTCCCCCCAGAAAACTAGACTCTTTCGACATAAGGAAAATCTGTCTGTTCACTATACCGTGTATACACGAAGGGTCAAGCCAGTATATATGTCACTAAAGGGGTGGAAATCCGGAGTCTCATCCCGCTATTGGAAAGATGGTATGGTGATAAATATTGGCTCGCCGTTGCAGTGGTTAAGGTGTCTGGCTGTTGAGCCCGAGATCGGGGTGGAGCCAAGTGGGGTGCAAAAAACCCGAAAAAGATGATGGTAATCAGTCTGGGTTGGGCAAACCCTCCCATCGAATCGAGACATTCTCTTTTCTTGACGAGTGCGTGGATTCACATGATGCACTGTACTCGGACGTTTTGCAGACCACTACGTTTCCGCGCTTGAAAAACAGAAATGTGGTGCCCATTAACGGGGCACAATTTTTGGGGCTGGCCGCCGTTGATAAATTTCATCAGCAGCCCGTGTTTCATTTCCGGGCTGCCGTTGTTAAATTCCACCAGCAGCCCGTGTTTCGTTTCGGCCTCCAGCACGCTGCCAATAAATGGGAAGCGTGCTGGTGGCTTAAACCGCCAGTACCTTTCCCATATCTCGGCCGCGGGCCCTGCGCGCCGAGAATTTGGGATGTACCTGGCCAGCGCGCGCCTGCCTGGGGGCGGCCTCCGTGTTAAACCACCACTCTATGGGACAGGAGGAAATAGCCCCTCCTGTGAGTCCGGGCGATTATTCAGGGAGGGCGGCGACCGGTGGGCGAAGCAGCAGGGCCATTTCCGTGGGAAATAGAGAGTCTGCTGCATCTTCGGGCCGCAGGTAGTTTTGCCTGCTTTCCTAGGCGGGAACAGTGGCGGCCCCCACTTTCCTGTGGCAGTTCGAAATATTTTTTTTTCCTTTTTTTTTTTTTTTTTTTTTTTTTGAGTTGTCACATTTCGTTTGAACATGGGCCTCGTTTTTCGGAGGCAGTCCCCCTTTCCGCGTCTACATGCATAGAAGGTGAGGGCGAAAAAAAGAAAAGACTTAGGGCGAAAAAAAGAAAAGACTTAGGGCGAAAACAACAATCTTTGCCAGCTTGCCCGTACTGGCTTCGGGCCTCGCTGCACTACTCCGGAAATGTGAAAAGGATAGTGAATCTCCCACTACATTTCGGAAAGATACACCGCGAAGATTTGTCTTTTGTGCATGTCCACAGTGGTGCAGTGTTGCGGGGGGGGTTGGGGGGGTGCAAGGGACAAAGCTAAGGGCGAGCCTCGATACATTGGGATGACTGTCTGAATCTGGACGTGGAACAGCGATTGATGCAGAAAAGCAGATGAATCACTGTTTTCTGCATCTCTTCCTGCCGCACGTCCAGATTCAGACAGTCATCCCAATGGTCCTTGCCAGCGGGATCCGGCCTGAACTGACGACGCCGCAACAACCGCGGCCCCTGGCAGGGCTCCATACGAAAATCCTTTTGCTTTTTTTTGTTTTCCTTTTTTTTTTTTCACGTTCAAATTNCCAGCACAGTGTGTCCGAACGCTGTGGGGAGCGACCCGCCTGCGGTGTATGAGAGTTTTTGTTTTTTCTTCTGCGGAATTAAACTCCGCGTTTGGGTGTGTTCATTGAACACGCGTGCATTCCGTTGAAAAACTGAATGGAAAGCCCAGGTTCAATGAACGCGCGGTTTCATAGACCTAGCATGTTGGGAGTCTGAAGCTGGGGTATAGGATTGGCAATATGAACAGGACAGATATGTCTGATTCAGGTTAGGGCTGTAGCATCACTCGGAATGTGGGGGTTTGGTAGATGGGAGGTTAGTGGTGGTCCCATCTCCCTCCCTTGCGCCTCGCTCCCCATAGAACTCCGCTTCCTACCCCTTCCCTTCCGCCCTTCCCTTGTATACTATTAATGGGACGTTAGTGGTGGTCCCATCTCCCTCCCGTACGTGTATACGAATGAGCATTATTGATATGCAAGTGTGCCGCTAAGGCAGAATATAAGCTGAAGATCTGAAGGAAAATGAACAGGAATATGCCTCCTCCCCCTTCACTCTACCTCCTTTCATGACTTGCAAGTGTGCCGCTAAGGCACAGGGGGGTGTGGGCAGCTGGCCCTCCGCCGCAATCAACATGGGCCAGCTTCGTACGTGAGAGGCATAGTACAATGGGAGCTGGAAATACAAATGAAAGGGGTATACCCCAAAGAAAGCCAAATTAAACATACATGACAAAGGGACTTCAATTCAACGGGTTTATTGTCCTCCATGTTAATTTGCAGCTATAGAGGTAATGTAAAACTGTTCCATTGTTGGAAAGTCTCGACTTAAGTGGGAGGTGGTTCGGAGGGGGTCATCATGAGGGAAGCAGAACAAAGGATGGGGGGACTGGAGGAGCAAGGGACGAAGAAGTGGGGGACTTAGGCTGATATTTCCACGTCACATTCATTCGTCCTTTCTCCAGTTTTTTCCACAGAAGTTGGGAGTCCTTCATTGCCGGCATTCTTTTCGGAGGGCCCAACCATTCTTCGGAGATAAGGTTTTTCACCTCTGAAATCCTTTGAGATTTCTGTTGCGCCAGTGTTTAGACTTCTTCGTCTATGGCCTTCTTTTGCAGTTTAAGTCTATCCGATGCACAGCTTTGAATCGAGCTATGAGATATTCTCTTATATGTTCTCTTGCACTAGGCGACCAGCCGGTCTTCCTGGTTCACCCTGTTTGCCCGGGCGGCCCGGCCGTGCAAGGACCAGGGATAGTCCCAGCCAAAAAAATAATAATAAAAAGCAATCCAATTTTTTTTTTTTTTAATCCGAAAAAAACAAAAACTATGTTATGCAGAAAAATAAACTGAACAACTTTTGCCTCAACGTCACATCGAAATTCCTTACCAAATTAAAAATAAAAATAAAAAAACACCTTGAAACTGTATCTTGGACCATAGTGCAATTATAACTCCTTTTTTTTTTTTTTTTTAACTATCTCATTTTTGTGACTCCTCCGCAGTTTCCCCGAAGAAGATTCGTAAGTGCCCATTGATATTTGCGGCACGGATGATGATGGCCCTCGCGAGGGCTATCAATTAATTAAGGATGGAAAGAGATTTGCGGCATGGATGATGATGGCCATCAAGGGTCAATTTAAAAAAATAAAAAAAATAAAAACTTTGAAGCTGAGTGTCTAGTATGTCAGTGTTCAGTGACCCTTTACCCAGTTTTCTGAGCACAACAGGTTGCCATCATCATCTGTGCCCTTGTCATTAAAAAAAGGAGGAGGAGGAGGAGAATAATTTTGCTGTGCTGTGTGGACGACAACGGCCATGATCAAGGGAAGAGCAGGATGACAAGTTCACTAGTCTTCACCCGGTTAGCTGAG